CAGAGAGCCGGATTGGAAGTGGAGCAGCTGGGACTGGAACTGGTGCCCATAAGGGATGCCAACTTCACAGGTGGTGGCTTAACCCTCCACCCCACAACAGCGGCCCTGTAAAGATCTTACTTTGTTTTAAAGACGCTAGTTACTCTCAATGACCTGTTCCATAGTTTCCCAGATATGTGATACAGAGTGAAAGAAATTGGGAAAAAGAGAGTGCCTCATCAGAGTGTGGATTAGCTGCAACCCTAGTAGAGCTCAACTTTTTCTATGGGAAAAAAAAACTCTTTAATTTTTCACTCATTAATTCATCCTACAAATATTGACTGAGCAGTTACTATCCTTGAGGCTTAAGATATATCATTGACTAAAACAGTATAGTCTCACTCTATATTCTTATAGGGAAGATAAAGCATTAAAAAACATAATGAGGGGCTGGCGCTGTGGTTCACTTGGTTAATCCTCCACCTGCGGCGCCAGCATCCCATATGGGTGCCGGGTTCTAGTCCCAGTTGCTCCTCTTCCAGTCCAGCTCTCTGCTGTGGCCCAGGAGGGCAGTGGAGGATGGCCCAAGTGCTTGGGAGCCTGCACCTGCATGGGAGACCAGGAGAAGCACCTGGCTTCTGGTTTCAGATCTGCGCAGCACCAGCCATAGCGGCCATTTGGGGAGTGAACCAGTGGAAAGAAGACCTTTCTCTCTCTCTCTCTCTCTCTCTGTCTATAACTCTACCTGTCAAATAAATAAAAACATAATGAGTAAATTATGTAGCATGTTACATTCCTTAGAAAAACAAAAGGGATCTGGAAGAGGTGGGTGGGCTGAGGGGTACTTATGCTTAAATGGAAATCTTATTCAACCGTACCTGTGCAAGCTAGGTTTCCACTAAAAGTCTAAAGAATCAAGGTTAATTGATATAATTTTAAAAATTCCAGAAATTCTACCCTTTGTTCTGGGAAATTGTAAAGGTGATGAACTTGAGAAATAGTCCCCCATGGTTTCCATATATATGCATTTGGTCAATCAAGAATGGAAAAATATTCACGAAAAAATGCATTGATAAGAATCCTATTTCATTATTCCCTAAAAAATATAACTATTTACATAGTATTCAGAGTTGATCTAAAGTATGCGGGAAGTTATATGCAAATACTACACCATTTTATACAAGGGACTTGAGCACTGGAAGATTTTGGTATCTAAGGGGATCCTGGAGCCAATCCTCCCAGGACACTGAAGGATGACTATACCTAGTGCTATGTGGTTAAGCACTTACTAAATTCCTAGTGAATCCACTGATCAAGATTTAGAGGGTTCTAGTGGTGGGTAGAAAATGTGTGATACTGTTTTCAAAGCTATCGAGATACTATCCAAGATTTCCTAACCAAAATAAATATACATGTGTAGTATGTTTTTGGACAGTTGAATGTCCCAAATATATGTATATATGTGATATAAATATATATAGCTATAAATTATGAATGTTTTATATATAGTAACATTATTTAATACTATAAATCAACTGAATGAACACTTATGTGGCACCAAAGGCATTCTTTAAGATTCGTTTTAGGACTACAGCTATGTCATTTTTCAGCACATAATCTGTTGTTATGAAGAAATCCAACCATAATAAAATTGTACCCAAATTAAAAGCATTAAAAAAATGGTCACGTGGGAAATAGTGTAAAATAACATAATGAACTTGGCGAAAGATTGCTTCATCAGCATAAGATCGGTAACATGGTCTACAGCTGGACAATGATTAAACAGAAATGCCCTAAGGCCACCACTGAATAGGGGATTGCTGTCACTGTACTGTACCACATGGGGATCAATCTTATATTTAAATTGACAGCAGGAAAAGATTTTCTTCTCCAAAGCCACTTAAAACTCTATGTCCACAATCCATCTGGAAAGCTAGTTAGGCTGGGAGAAGGCAGTTGTCATAGAGATTGCAAGTTAGAGAACGACGAGGATGGAGTGGAAAAGTTGTAACATTCCACACACACCATTCAGACCTGCCAGGGTGAGAAGCAATTTCTGAAGAAATCAGGCAATAGGCATTCACCTTTTAGGACTCTGAGTAGCTGTGTTGGTAAACACTGAAACAGCCCACGAGGTGGTGAAGATGCCAGTGAGGATGCCCAGGTCTCATGGCAGAGCGCCTGCTTTGGTTCCCAGCTATGGCTCCTGATTCCAGCTTCTTACTAATGCAGACACTGGGCGGCAATAGTGACAGCTCAAGTAGTTGGGCTCCCACACTCAACTGGGAGACCTGGATTTAGTTCCAGCTCCTGGCTTTGGCTTCACTCAGTCCCAGCCATTGTGGGCATCTGAGGAGTAAACTAACAGATGGGAATCGTCTTTGTGTCTCTGCCTGTCTCTCTCTCTCTCTCAAATAAATACTAATTTTTAAAAATCCCAATGAACATCCATCACAGATCATAATAGATGAGAGAGGAATGATGGAGAACATACAGAAGAATTAAACTGCAATGTTTCACTTAGTGTACTTATACACTTCCACATCCCCAAGAAGTTCAATGCATAATGGATTAATCTTTTTTCTGAGTGTGTGTTTCTCTAGAATACTGTACTGCTTTCTTCACACTTTGAGTCAAAAATGCTAAGAAGCCTACTGCCTCTGGCCAATTTCAATTACGTTTTTAAAAATTATTTATTTGAAAGGCAGAGTGACAGAGAGACAGAGAGTACGCTTCCATCCACTGATTCCTTCCCCAAATGGCCACAATAGCCAGGGCTGCACCATGCTGAAGCCAGTAGCTAGGAACACACCCTGGCCTCTCACATGAGTGGCAGGGTCTAAGCACTTGGGTTATTTCCCAGTGCCTTTCTAGGTGAATTAGCAGGAAGTCAGAACAGAAGCAGAGCAGCAGGACTTGAACCAGCACTGTGATATGAAATTTGGGCATCCCAAGTGCTGGCTGAACATGCTGCACCACAGTGCTGGCCTGGGTTTTAATTATTTTATACTTTTAATTTTTTAAAGTGATCAACTATTTGTGTGAGAGTCAATGACTATTTTTAAAGTTTTTTTCTCTAAACATAAGATTGTTAGATGACTTTCTAAATCATAGGTTTAATAGATCAGGGTAAAGAGAATATATGAAAGTCATTCTAGAGGTTCACAAGTAATGCTATGATCTTAGTGATTCACTGTGCACAGCAAATCAAAATATGAACTCTGCATTCTAAAGAGAGACACATTTTTAAAGTGATCTTCAAGTTCGCATTACAAAAATTATCTGAGGCAGAGAAACACACACACATATTAGGATAGAGTGGCCTGGAGACAACACACAGAGAGCAGAGAGTGAGCTGGTTCACTCCTTAAAAGCCTGCAACATTTGGGATTGGACCATGCCAAAACCAGGAGCCAAGAACTCAGTTCAGGTCTCCCATATGGGTAGCAGGGACCCGAGGACTTAAACCATCCCCTGCTTTCTCCCAGGGTGTACATTAGCAGGAAGCTAGGGTTGGAAGTGAAGCTAGGCCTCGAACCCAGGTACTCTGACATGGAATATTAGAATCTTAACCAACATCATAACCCGTAGACCAAACACCAGTTCTCATTTTTACATTTAACGCCTTATTACGACCTTTTAAATTGCCACCTGAAAACAGGAAGAGCATTTACATTTTTCTTAGTGTCTAATAGATAATACCAATGTAATTTATGTAAAGAATAACATAGTTTCTCTTAGATATGTTCCTCAGAGTACAGATTACCTATGAGTATTGTAAACACTATCATTTCTTTTGTAGTTATGGTTCTAAGTGCATGAAATAATGTTTAATGTAGCAATGCACATATAATGACCTTATTCATGGCTAGAGTTTTGCTACAGTGGAGCTTTTGGGGGTGAACTGAAAAAACAGACTTTGATTAAAATAGTAACTATATGATAAGATTAAGACAGACAAGATTTTTACATATCTCTTGGGAGGTAGAGGTTTAAGAAATTTCAATAAATATGTCATGATATCTTGATCATTTACAAATGTGAGGTGGTTTTCTTAGTTTGTGTTAATTTCTGAACCATATAATAAAACTGGAACCTGAAAACTCCAATAGCAGAAGTTATTTCAGCAAGGTTGGAAGCAAACAGCCATGCATCTTGCTCATCCTGCCTTGGCCATTTCTATCAAGAAGGCAGATTATCAACCAGTGTTTGCAAACATGTGATATCTATGATTCAGGCTGACTCACTGAAAACTAATCTCTTTCTGTTATGAAAGGATGCATATATTAAAATAAAAAATAATGAAAAAACATTGCTAATATTGCCTATTGTTTATAAAATAAATAAAACAGTTTAGTATATTATCTGGTCAAATATGGACTGCATTCACAAACTTCTCGTATTTTATTCTTGATGTCAATTTCCCTTTCTGTTTAGGTTTATAAAATGAAAGTGGGCACAGTTCCCTAGAAACATGTACATTTTTCTGTTTTCTTGATTCTCTTTGGCCAATCTCAACTCAACAAAGAATGAGCAGACGTTTGAGTTTTTACCAATTATGACTTTCCATCTTTCTTCTCTGCTACTTGGGGCATGTTGCAAAGATTGTCCATTTCACTGTGAAAAGTCAAAGTTAAAACTCTAATCTCAAGTTGAACTCAAATCTTAGGTCCTCCTCACTCCTTCTCTGAGCACAGAATTGTTGGGAATTGTTGGGTCTATTGAATGAACAGGCTTTAGCTAAGCCCTGAAAGTTACTGGCAACATTTTTGCCTCCCGTTTTGAGGATATGGGCATCCAAAGTCTCCCTGTCACCTGTACTAGCGACTTGATTGCCAGCTGGAGAGGAGACAACATTCTATTGAATATCCTGTTGCACATACATGATGTATAGTGTGGTGTTCCACTGTGTTCAGCTTACACTGCACTGTGTAAACTTTCATCTCCCCTCAACTGCAACACACATGCATTTCACACCCTAAAGACAACATAAATAGAGCGAAGAGGAAAAAAGGGATTACCATGGCTGTTGCATCTGGATGTTTCCACAAGCCGCCCATTTTGATCGTAGCATGCCATTGCTTGGTAACGATATCCTTGGCCACATTCTTTGATGTCTCCTTGTACTTTCATTCCCAGTAGCACTTCCACTTTCCCCTCTGGTAAGATACAGTCTGACCAGTTCCCCACAGGCTGTGCATTGTATTTGTCACAAGGACAATACTGAGTCTCAATCAAGGGGTACAAGTGGGAATTTTTACATTTTTCTTTCTTTTTACTTTTTCCTGTGGAAGAGAAACCATCAGACAATTTAAGTTGAAAAACATCATTATTAATTTCAAGCCTCTTGAAATTTCTACCTTCTTATACCTCCTCTTCCCAGTTTAGACCATATATAATAGAAACCTATAAGTAAATGATATTTTCTCACCCCACAGAGATGTATATATAGGCGATTGCTGGGGCTTAGTATAGTGAAGTTTTCCTTATATCTCATTTTGTGTGAAGAAGTCACTTGTATTGGATTTTATGCTCTTCAAAATGATTAAAATCCTCTAAAATGATCCTGTTTTTTCAATAACTGGTGAGTTTCTGGTAACTGCATAAACCTCTCCTTTATAACATTTAAAAATAAGAGATGGAGAGAGAGTCCTTGTGTTGGACTGAATGTCTCTCTTGCTAATTCCAAATAGATGGTATATGGTTACAGAGGATTATAATTGAGAACATGAGATTTTTTGAATCACTGCTGACTATGATTTTGTACCCTTCAGTATTTTAGAGAGGGAATGATTTTTACATACTTGGTGATTCATGTAGAAAACAGTACTCAAAAATATTTGAAAATGTTTGAATATAAATGTAAATCATTTTTTAAAAAAGAAAATCATGTTGAGGATAAATTCCATATGTGTTTGAAAATATTTAATTAGTTTAATGCTATCAAATTAATATTGATGGTATACTTACTATACAAGAGCACTACAAAAAGTTTGTGGAAAAACAGAATAAGAAGTGGGTCTGTTGTGGTGCAAATTTTCAAACCAATGTCTGCCTACTTTTTCAAAATATATATTTTCTATATTTAAAGATCCTCTCATATGTATCATATGTAAAATAACCCTTAATTATAACATATATAATGAACTACATATATGTATCTAACGTTCATAAGCTGTCATATAGTTTTCAACAGTCTTACTTTTGCAGGTGGTTCATTTTATAACTTCTATCATGAAAAGTCTATTAGAACCAGTATTTTTTGGTTTCTTTTGTCAGTGACAGTGTTTCTTAATGTACCAGGCTCTGATTCAATATGATGATCCTGACTCTTCCTTGTTAGATCACTTCTCTTTTTTTCTGTGTCATCTCTTTTATATGTAGTTTTCAGACACAGGATTAAAGTCACATTCTTCCTTGTAGGAGATAAAAGCTAATCTGAAAAAGTGACAGTGAGAATGGGTTAAGAAAATGAAAGGGCGATTTTTCTACTTTGCTCCAACAGCCTTTTGGTAATGTTTCAACCAAAACATAATCTATCATCACTGTATAGTCGTTTGCGTAGGGAGTCAGGCTGCTTTTTTCTATTTACTAAAACTACTTATTGCTTCTCTCACTGCCAACTTACATTAAAATACACATCCAGATCCCCTGGCATATTGGGTGTAAGCACAGCAACAATACGGCATTTTCAAAGGCATTGTCAGAACCCTCTGCATCTAACTTCCATTGCGTTTTTCCACCTTGACAAATGTTGGCTTGGGCATCCCAATTATTCTTACCAACAATAGTGCGCTTTCTGGTCCTCACTGCCCCACAGTCTCCATTGCATGAGGAAAACTTGGACCAGCTGGTAAACTGACAGTCGTCTTGGCAGGGGATCTGGCAGGCTTGGGTGAGGGCTGGCACAGGGCCTGCATACTGGAGACATTCGGGGATGCCAGCCTGCCCCCCATCTTGCTTTCGACAAGTAATGGCTGGAAGAAAAGCAGAACGCTGTTTATACCACAGTCAAAGGTCTAATTACTCTATAATTTAGAAATTAACGTTTGCTTAGATAGGAGTCCTATTTTATTTCCTTGTTTACAGAAGACCTGTAGTAGGAGTTGTTTCTAATAATCAGACATTAAATTGATTTTGCAGGCTTTCTAATAACACACAACCCCTAGTGATTTTCTTGGCACAGAAAACTACATACACATACATGTTCAATATTTAGCAGTTTTCATGAGATGCTATTAAATATGACAACTCATGTCACACATGGGGTAAATTTAGAAGTGAATTATTTCATGAGGCAAATAATATATGATCTCTGACAAGTTTAATGTTGAACACTGGACATTGATAGCAGTGCTGCAGAATACCAGGTACCTTTAATACTATTGTATAATGCTGGACTTTTTTTAATTATTAATTTATTTATTTATTTGGACAGGCAGAGTGGACAGTGAGAGAGAGAGAGAGACAGGGAGAAAGGTCTTCCTTTTCTGTTGGTTCACCCCCCAATGGCCACTGTGGCTGGCGCGCTGCGGCCAGCCCACCACGCTGATCCGAAGCCAGGAGCCAGGTGCTTCTCCTGGTCTCCCATGCAGGTGCAGGGCCCAAGGACTTGGGCTGTCCTCCACTGCACTCCCGGGCCACAGCAGAGAGCTGGACTGGAAGAGGAGCAACTGGGACAGAATCCGGCACCCCGACCAGGACTAGAACTCAGGGTGCCGGCGCCACAGGCAGAGGATTAGCCTAGTGAGCCATGGCACCGGCCAATGCTGGACTTCTAGAACTTCTATATCTAGGGTCTTATGGCAGTGAATTGGTTGGTAGGTTGGAGTGCAGAGGACATACTCATGGAACTTGTCTTGAAACTGCATTGGCATAAAACATTCTTTTTCTTTTTTTAAGGTTAATTTATTTATTTGAAATGCAGAAATAAAGAGGGAGGAAGGTGGGAGGGAGGGAGGGAGGAAGGGAGGGATCACCACATGGGTGCAGGGGCCCAAATAGTTGGGTCATTCTCTGCTGCTTTCCTAGGCACATTAGCAGGGAGCTGGATCACCCAGGACTCAAATCAGCGCCCATATGGGATGCCCTCTGTAGGCGGAGGCTTAACATTTTACACCACAGCACCAGCTGCACAAAACATTCTTTTCCTACAATGGGAACTTATTGGTATGGCTTTGGAGTAGTCAATGGAGATACAGGATAAAAGTCCTCCACCCACTCTGTCTACAGCTTCTTCACCTACTCAAACATCAATCCTGAATCTAAAAATACAAATGGAAATTTCTAGTAATGTTCATCTAGCATAATTAGCATTTCCTCAATTACATATGGACTCAGAAATAATTCTAATTCATATATATTTTTCTCCCAAGATATCATTCTATCAAATTATTTAAAACAAGAAAATATTATATTACTTATTGGACATAGATGTAAAATTGCTTTAATATAACAGGACTTAAAGAAAAAGAGCAAATGACATTTATAGACTCCTTCCTCCCCTCTGCCATTTCCCTCCTAAGTTTCAAAAATCACCAATTCATTGGGGCCAGTGCCATGGTTCACTTGGCTAATCCTCTGCCTGCGGCGCCGGAATCCCATATAGGCATGGGGTTCTAGTCCCAGTTGCTCCTCTTCAAGTCCAGTTCTCTGCTGTGGCCCGGGAAGGCAGTGGAGGATGGCCCAAGTGCTTGGGCCCTGCACCTGCATGGGAGACCAGGAGGAAGCACCTGGCTCCTGGCTTCAGATCGGCATAGCTCCAGCTGTAGCGGCCATTTGGGGGCTGAACCAACGGAAGAAAGACCTTTCTCTCTGTCTCTCCCTCTCACTGCCTGTAACTCTACCTGTCAAATAAATAAATAAAAAATTTAAAAAAATCATGAATTCATTTATTGAGAAATGATGGCTGAGCATGTGGGTGTGAAGTAAGAGAGCTCTAACCTTGCGTTCAAGGAGAGGGAATCATGGGAACTTGCACAGGCAAGGGATTACAAAGAATATCCACCTAGTTTGAAAGGACGTGATCCCTAGCATGATATAAGAGGAATTCCCATGACACAGAATACCAATGAGCAGTCCTCTCCCCATTTGACATTTGGAAGCAGGATTGACAAATAGTTTAAATCTGGTAAGTTCCCATGGTTCCTGGGAAAAGTTGCTCCAAGTAGGCCCAAAAGGAAAGACTGAGAAACAGTACAATATTAGACTTTTAGCTAATCTGGAGACCTAGGAGACAAAGATGTTTAATTTGGGAAGTGCAGACTTGACCATATGTATTAGAATCCTAAGCCATAAAGAAGATTGCATTATATCTAACTAAAAGAAAACTGAAAATTGTACAACTGAGTTTGGGTTCTTTGAATTGAAATTGTTTTTGCCTACTCATCCATTTTAGCCCTCTGAAATATATACAAATACAAAACTGAAAAAATAAATGAAATTGTGTTAGATTCTTCATTAAGGGTCCTTTGTAGAATTTTATTATAGAATTGCTCCAACTATCATCACATTAAATGATACCAAAAAGGAAATTCAAGGTAACTCCACTATCAACATAACTGTAGAAACACATTAATTTACTTCGTGCAGATCTATATTAGTTACATAAATCCAAAGTTCTTTTCCCATATACCTACCCTCCATAAAATCTTAAGTACTTCAGTTAGTTGAAAAGAAAAAAAATTCCCGTATCTGTTCCTAGAAACCCACTCAACATTCTACTCTTCTTATCTGAGGTTTTCGACAGTGTACTTATGGAACGAATTACTCATGCAATGTTATCCAAACACATAGAAACAGCACCATTTGTACAATATATTGAAAATTTATCGTACATCTCAACTAGTTGGTATTCTGACTTAGAGGAAACACAACAATTCAAACACAAAAATGCAATCTGAAATGAACTTCCTGCTATTTAGGTAAGGAAAATATAAATGTTTGGGAAGGGAACCATCTGGTCCCTCGACTTTATAAATCTTAAAAATCATTTCTAACACACTGAAAACTGTGATTCTAACTGTAGAAAAGAAGGAGCATACTGAGCACGCTTCTTAGCACCCCAGAAAGCTACATATATCCAGACAACTGTATCTGTATTTACAGGTAGAGCTTGTGTAGTTCATGTGTAATGACGATGTAAGTTCTTTGAGCCTTGTTAGCATATAGGCCAAAAATCGTGTGGGCTTACAGACAATTCATGAAAGCTTCTTAGTTAGATCAGAAAATACCAAAATCATGACTTTTAAATAAATTTATTTAACTCTATGCTGATAACATGCATTTATTTCATTTATACTTTTATTTATATAAGGCACTGTCATTGTTTTTAAGAGTCAGTTGATAGGTTGCCCCCAGAATTTGAAAACCTGGGTATCATTAATGTGTTTAACTTTTGGGTTACCTATGACTCAAGTTAGGCATGCTGAGCCCCAATATTGAAGAAATATTGTAAAGGCAGATTTAAAGAAAAGACAGTTTCTTCAACAAATGTCATGAAAAAAGGAGCTCAGCATGTTGTTAAATGAAAGTCAACTTAAAATATACTAACCCAACACAATGCATGGCCCATTTTGGACCCCACTGTGAACACACTGTACATTGATATTTTTGAGACAACAAAGAAAGTTAAACATGACCATAACAGATGATATGAAAGAACTGTAAATTTTGTTAGGTATGAAAATAATGTTGTTAGATTTAAAGAAAGAATCAAATATTTATGGGTGATATATGAAGGAGCTTCAAAAAGTATCATTAAAAGATAATGTGAATTATTCATGAACTTTTTGAAGCACTCTCATATATCTTATCTGAGAGTTGCTTTAAAATATTCCAGAAAAATTCATTTTAAATGTTTGGTGAGTGGCAGATGATCAAGAAAGACAACATACTATAATCAGTTGAAACTGAGTAAGCATAATAATTACTATATTACTAGTATTCATTATATTCTTTCTACTTTGGCATAATATTGAAACTTCACATAAATTTAATAAAAGATTTATAAGTAGAAAAAGTCAAGCCAATTTGAAAACACATAAATTGAGTATGAGCTTTGTTCTAAAAAAAAGTAAAATAATAAATGCTCACAGAATGACAAGGAATAGATCACATTGGTTGAGCTAAAAGGAGATGGATATGTGTGCTACGCAAATATGAGTTTGTAAATAGAAGGCTACCCATGCAGCTCAGAAGTAAATCCAATAGAATTCAGAATGTAGTTGCTCATCTTCATTTTCTTGAAAAGGAATAAAACTCCCTTATTATTCAGGTTGCACACAAAGGGGAAGTTTTATTGGTCAGTGAATTATCCTTCAGCAAGTAAAGCCATGTTGTCAATTTGTTTGAATAATCAGGATGAAATAAATTGCTAGATCCAACATGTACACACAGATGCTCTTCTTATGGGAAATAGAGTAGGATTAATATCTTTGTGCACTGAAAGCTGTAGGATTATATGTAACAAAGAGTTCAAAGAGCTCTGAGTGCTTATTAAACTGAGCAATATTAACACGGTATATCCTACTGCAATCATGTCTCTGTAGCATTTGTGACAGCACACATTCAATTGAGTGATCCAGTGAGTGATGTTTCCTATTGTTTCATGGAAAAAATGGTATTAGTGATTATGAACCATGTAGAAATGAAAAGGAAAAAGTTTAAGCATGAGTGGGAGCTCATTATCAAGAGACTTAATTGTGCTTAGAAATTAGATCAAATCTGTAAATAATGCAAGAGGACTATAGTCATTTACTGTGTGGATACAAGGATCTTGGTCTTTGTGCAAGAGATTTTCACCGTCAAGTCTGCCAACATGGACTCCCTAATTATAATTCTGAATGCTTTTCTTTCTTATTGAGCTTAAAGAGTTACATGTATTTAGCAATCTCACAAATTCATTCATGAATCACAAATTCATCATATATGTGAAAATTTTAGCATGAGATTGTATAGGAAACAGTAATCAGCTCCC